ACTTCATTGTAAATGCTAAAATAACATACTGGAATCTCAGGGTAGGCATACAGTTATTGCGTAACTCAAATGTTGATTTCTGTATCCCCATATCTGGTTGTACTCTTTTTTTTTTTTTTTTTTTTCTGAAAATCTCCTATCTCAATGTTTTGTGAACACTACTCCTCAATTGTCCCCTGATATGCCAATAAAGCAGCTTATTGCCAATCACTAAGCAGGGGAGAGAATAGGGTTGGATTACCTACCAGCCAGGGGAGGAGGAATTGGGGAAGAAGTAGGAGATTCCGCCATAGGCATATGTCCAGGAGGGACCAGTAGGGAAAGCTCAGCAAGGAAAGCCACAAAGTGCAAGTATCTTTGGGATGCCTGCTGGAAGGAAGACAAATTAGCTTAGAGGATTAAGAATAGAGTTAAAACTGCTTGGGTTTTTGTGCTGTGAAACTTGTCTCGATTATTTATGTGATAGTTGGGTTAAGAGAGAAACTGAGAAACAAACAGTTTCATAAAACAAACAAACTTTAATATCCCAGTCTTGTGAGACTTTTAGTCACGGGAATAAAGTAACAAGCAGTTTGAATTGTAATGCTATTTTGTAGTGACCACTTTCTGTTAGAAAAATGTTCATGTTTGTCAACTAGTTCTCTTAGGTTTTTCATGTTCCTTGTGAAGAGTGAGACCAATTTATTTCATAATTGTTAGCATTGAAAATGGGGCAAAGGAAAAGGTGGTAGGGTGAAGAGTCAGAGTAGACAAAGAGAGCAAATTCTGACATGGACTTCATTTTTTTTCTTACCCTACAAATGATTCTTTCAGTTAATTTATAGTCATTTGAGACCAGGATGTAGCTTATGGTGGGATTTTTAAAGCCATGGATTTTCTTATTTTTTTATCTTATTGTTTTTATTTTTAAAAAAATAGTTCATATATTATTTATCCCATATTGGTTACTTACCACTAGTCAAGCTTGGATGGCGTATAATTCAGAAACAAAAAAGCCTTAGAATTTTAAGGGATTTACAAGACACATACTGATTTTTTTATTTGATGTCATAGTTGGAGCTTATATACTTATTTTCAATGGCTCTTTGTATAGAAACCAACCAATAATGTTGAGGTGATAAATAATTCAGACAACTATGCTTATTCACTTTTTACTATGGACTGATGTAATCAGTTCCTTCCTTTAACAGAAGGACATCACTGACAGCATGAGTACTCCATTTTTACATAAGATTAGATTCTGTCCCTGTTTTTCCTAGAAATTTTGGGAGTTGGTCTGATGCTTGTATTTCAATGCTAATTACTGGCCCTCAAGATCTGGTTACTTCCTGGATATACCTATCCTTGTTGTGTAAACCTGCCTAAGACATTATTCCTGATTGGTTGATTAAAAGGCCTAAAACCTAGGCACAGCAGAATGGGGTAGGCATGGCTAAGGTTCCCAGACTTTGTGGACAGTAGAAAGGTCAGACAGACAGAAAGAAATAAGAGAGGAGGATTCCATGATGGGTTAGAATGGAGAAGAAACCACAAGGGCCAGGAGGAAGGACTCTAATAATGGCATGAAAAGAAACACCAAGATGAAAAATATAAGCAAGGTTTATAAGATTGTAGATGGAAGATAGCTCAGATAGGAATGGTGAAGGCAGATGGCATAGGATTCCCAGCCCTCCCATAGGGCTGGGAGGTGGATGGTGAGCTTATTGAGATAGCATTGATGGAAATATCTGCCCAGCCCAAGATTTATAAGGTAATTATAAAATCTAACAGGTGTCTGTGTCTTATTAATTCTGATATCTGGTTAAATAATAGCACTCTAATAATTATAGGGTGAATAATAAACATTATTTAGTCCGATATCATTATATTTTCAACAACCCTAGATTTTTTTTTCCATGTGAGACGGCTATTAGTTGTGAAGGAGAATTATATGAGAAGGTTAAGTGCTTCTTCTTGGACTAAGAAGTTACAGCAGCTTGTAATATGAAAGACATTATTCTGAAGAGCCTCTAATGACTTAGACTCCTTCCTTGACCAGTGACCAACACAAAGCAATCACGTGAAAATTTCTTATTGAAGAGATGAACTGAAAACTTCTCTTTGCCTTCATTGTAACACGACTTATGAAACACATTTTATCTGTTTAAAAGGACTTTTTTTCATCTGCTACATATGTGCGGAGAGAGGGTCTAGGACCATTCAATGCATGCTTGTTGGTTGGTGGTTCAGTCTCTGTGAGCCTCCACGGGCCAGGTTAGTTGACTCTGTAGGTCTTCTTGTAGAGTCCTTGACTCCTCCAGCTTCCTCAATTATTCCCCAATTTTGCCATAGGACTCCCCGAGCTCTGTCTAATGTTTGGCTCTGGGTCTCTCCATCTACTTCCATCAGCTTCTGGGTGAAGCCTCTCAGTGGAGTTATGCTAGGCTCCTGTCTATAAACATAACAGAATAACGTTAATAGTGTCAGGGATTGATTCTCTCCCATGGGATTGGTCTCAAGTGGGGCCAGTCTTTGGCTAGCCATTCCCTCAATCTTTGCTCTGTATTTGTCCCTACACATCTTGTCCACAGGACAAATTTTGGGTTAAAGCTTTTGTGGGTGAGTTAGTATTCTTATTTTCCTGTGAATCACCCAACAACTGAAGTGGAGGCCCTCTCTGACTCTGAGGCCTCCCTTTGGATCTCATTCCCCAACTGGGCTGCCTTGTCTTGCCTCAGTGAGAGAGGATATGACTAATTCTGCAGCAACTTAATGTGACAGGTACCCATGGGAGCCCTCCCCTTTCTCCGAGGAGGAGAGGAGAGAATGGGGGAAGGGTATGCAAGGGCTGGGAGAAGAGGAAGCGGCTGCAATCAGGGTGTAAAGTGAATAAATAAATTTAAAGAAAGAAAAAAAATTTCATTTAACTCTGACATTTTGCATTCAATTCCAGGTAAAGTGTACATATAACTCTAAAGTATTTAAAACAAACATAAGTAGTATATTGAAAAAAAGTACTTTCTTTTCTTCATACCTGAGCCTGCATTTGCAATGTGTACGTTAGAAAAGATTCAGACTAGCTCTATCATAACTCACCAAATAGGAATTAAAAGTTGGTTTTCAGACTCGGTTTTTTAATTCTCCACAGCTTTTAAACAAACAATCATACATTAATATATATGATGCTATCCAGGTTGAAGTGGAGACTTAGTGAAACCGTGTTTCTTTTCTCAAGAGAGAGAGAAAAAGAAAAGGCATGGAGGAGGGAAGATTGGAACATAGTGAGGATCTGGGAGGGATTGGCGGGGGAAGAAACTATGATCAGAGTATATTATACGAAAAAACATTTCAAAAAACAAAACAACAACAAAGGATAAATAGACTAGAGTGACTACAGATAGTCATTGGTTTAAAACAGATTCCTTCCAGGAGCATTTTCCATTCTCACTAGAATCCGTCGTCATGGACTCTTCTCCACTATTTTAAGCTTCGTAGCCTCAAAGATAGTGCAGTACGAGGGCAAAAAAAGTCTAAGCTGTGTATCGTGAAAATGGAGAAGATAATCTAGTTTTCTATGGCTTAAGCACAATGTGACTGATCAGCTCTTGGCTTTGAAGGATCTTAGCAGGCGGTTGGTCTTTCTAGAGAGGAAAGCTGGTTTTGCAGGACTGTGATTCAGACACTCCTCCCTGTGTCTTGACCCACAGAGTAAGGCCAACTCATAAGATCTGTAACCCCGCCATTGCGCTATGCAGTGTACTCTCCTGCCTTCTCGGGAAAAGTCCACAAAGCAAAGCTTTGACATTCCATTAAGTCTTGAGGAAAGCCTTTTTCTAGCAAGCATCTTCAATTTCCCCTGTGTTTCGTCGGCTTGCGCGAAAAGTGTGAGGTCGGTTTGTGTATATGTTAATATAATTGAAAGTAGTCTCTCCGTAGAGCTTTGTGAGCCTGGACGTGCTATGTTTAAAACAAGATGATCTTGTTTTATTTATGAATTAAAGACTGGTATATCATGTAAAATATCAGCTTCACTTGCTGTTAAATATGCTTCAATTTCGTCCTTTGCTCTTTTTATGTATTCCTGCGACCCCAGATCCAGAAGCCCCGGGGACTGTCTTCTGGTTTAGTGCTAACTGGATATGGGGAATGTGCTGGCAGGACTGCTCTGCCATGTGCCTTCACTCCACCAGGATGGGGCTGTTCTTGGGTAACGCTGGACATGCCACGGCACTGCTGTCTGGGACACTTGGATATTGCCTTTTTACTGAGGAGACGCCATCATTCACTCTCTTTCCAGAGCAAAACTCTATTGCAAAATGCAGAGTTTGTGTATGAACAGAAGTGGAGTGTAACACTTCTGAGTGCTCATTGTCTGAGCTTCTGAAAAGTTAAAACAGGTATTGGTCACAGTTCTGCTGCTTTTAGTTCCTTAGAGGTTGGAGGGAAAAGACACAAAACAGACAAACAAACAAATCTTGGGCCCTTAGACTCAGCCAAAATCTAAGGAAAAGTCCAGTCCTAGTATAATATTTAGACCTTATATGGTCATTCTCTAAATCACGGTTAATTTCTGTAGATTAGTGCGAAGAATAAATGTTGCTTCTAAAACTTCAAATGTTTGTTGGGAAAGTGCAAAGAACTCTGTATTTTACATTCATTCAGTTAAAAAGGTTAATAAGACCTTGTATTTGATTTTGTTTATAGATCACATCACAAAATGTCTGGTATATGGAACAAGTTAAAAAAATGTGAAAAGAAATTCATAAAATTCTAAGGCCCAACTTGTGTGAGAAAGCCTTAGCTCCGCATTTACAAATTCTTTAATAATAATAAAAGTGTACAATGCTCAAAACTGCATAGTGTGGATGGTTTCTCTGGAAATATGTTTTTAAAGAAATCTTTTTTAAAGAACACACTAAGTAGTCACTTATTCCTGTTTAATAAACCAAGTCAACGATATCCTTGACAGTAAACAAATCAAGACCTTGTGGATAATATAAGCTCTTTCTTTTTAATTTTAGAATCAACCTTGTCCTATGTTAGGCAGCTGGAGGCCAGAGTCAGACAGCTGGAGGAAGAAAATCGCATGCTGCCCCAGGTGGGTGACTTCCAGAAGCTCATAGCTAGCCAGTGCCATCTGAGCTGTAGCCTTTTGTTTGAAATTTAAAGTCTCAGTTACATGTTCTCCTTTAAATGATAGAAATCATGTTGTAAATAGCCATTCATCACGTAGACTGCCGGGCTGTTCCATGGTGGCCATCATCCTGATTTCTGAGTGAGGCACTGAAGGATATGAATATCAATAAGAATGTGACATAATTTAAAATGAGGAAGAGAAAACACTCATTGCATCGTGCGTGTGGATAAAGGAAAGGGAACCATTTAAGTTGAAACTTTACTGATTTATGAGCTGAGTAAAGCTGTAGTTTAGAAGTTCATACTTTAATTAACTAGTGCTTTCTGAAACTCTCTGATAAAGTTGAACTCTTCTAGTGCAACAAAGTGATGGCGGTGATTAGCAGATTATACTTGGGATTCCATTACCTACCCCTGGTGAGGGAAGGTTGTATTCGTTTCTGGGATATTAAATGACTTGCCGTATGTTTTACTCATAAAATTGTTTCTGTAGCTGTCAAGTTGGTAAAAATGGGGCTGATTTTGTGAGGTGGTGGTTTTCAGAAAAGATTTTATTAAGAAATTCAGCAAATCCACAGGTTCTAGAGTAGTCTCCTGTCTGAGAAGAAGGCAGTGATGGTTTTAACATCTAATAAGAGATTTCTAAGCAGTGTATCCATGAATTCCTTCCACGTGCTGCAGCCATTTTCATTTTGTAAGTGACTAAGGGAAAATTATGCTTCAGGTAATGAGTAAGCAATATTTTAAATAAAAATGACAAATATTCCATTCAAAGACAAGATGTTTAAAACTGAAGCAGAAACTTTGGAAAAACATTTTGAGTCTAGTCATCTGGTTTTGCTTTTAAGCCATTTTTGCTCAGATATAATGGTTTGGGCCCTACTGCCTACATATGAGAAGGCTTTTCTGCCTTCTTCATTGGCCAACTTATTTCTAGAAATCATGGGATTAATGAAGTGGAACTTCTCCTTATTCTCAAACTCCACGTATGTTCAAATTCACGGTATCAGAAAAGACTGTTCATGCTGTAAAATAAGACACTGATGTATTTTCTTTTATCTTTTTTACCCCTCCCCCCTTTTCAAGTATATTTCCTTTTACATTGAATTTTTACTATGACTGTATGAGAATCCTTGATTGAAAAGAATGGACTTCTACCATTTCATAAAGAAAATTTAAAAGCAAGGCTCTTATGCTTGCCGTATCTCAAGCACTGTAAATTTGAAAAAAAAAAAAAAAAAGAATGTAAAACAATAATATACTTGTGTTTCCCTTTCATTAGGAACTGGGCCGCATCTCAAACACTGAAATGCTAGTGTGTACAGTGTGTGCCGTCTTGTTAGAAATGAAGTACTACTGAAGAGAAAACGATGATTGTTTTGTTGGTGGTGGTAGCATATGATTTTAATGTGGGTCTGGAGAGGCAGGATGTAGGTAATGGCACATGGTGCCGGGTGAAAGGCCCCCTTTTGATTCTCGAGCTCTCACACGGTGAGAGGAGAAAACCTACTTCTTCCTGTCCTATGACCCTATACATACAGTGGCAGGCACCCACATGCTCAGACATGCACACAATAAATAAACAAGTAAATAAATAATGCAATAAAATGTTTTTACTACTGTAAAAATAAAGTTATAACTCTTGGGGGAAAACAGAAGCATCCTTGAGTATATCTAGAGTGTGTGAATACTTAAATACATAGGGTTGCATATTAAAGTAAGGAGATATTACATAATCCCTCATGTTAAAGCGTTGAACAAAGTGCCCAGTTATATGCTTTAAATACATTGAGATTTTGCTATCAATAAAAGTCTTCGTTTTGTTTTTTCTCCCTAAAAATACATAGGGAAGATTATGTTTCATTTGACCTAAGATGTTAATATGAGCAATGTATTTATTATATGTACCATTATAAACAAAAGAAAGTCATTTATATCTCATCAAATTCTAAAAGATAAAAAATCTTTTAGATTTAATTAAACATATTTACATATCACGTTAAAGCAAAATACATTATCTCAAATGTATGCCAAAAACACGATGGATCTCAGTGTACAAACAACACTTGAAGTTTTTAACTTTTGAGTATCACTTACACTTATAGCTATGGCAGTTACATGACAGAACTGCTGATTGCAGCAGTCCCTGTAAGCGCACACACACACACACACACACACACACACACACACACACACATGAGTCCTTAACATGGAACACTGTAAATTGATCTCAGAGTACTGTGAGTTCTGTAAAGGTGTTCTCTGAAAAGGTTGAGTCTTGGGCTGCATGGCAAGGCACAAAGGCATGTGTGACTTGTTTTTAGATGTCTGGGTACTATTGCAAATAATGCCTGGTGACCTTGCCCTGCAGAAATGCTTTGTACTTGCTCGATGTTAGCTGGTGTGCAAGTCAGTCTAGGGCTACATGTGGACAATCCTGCATAAATTAGCTTCACTATTCACAAATTTGCTTTTCAAACATAAGAGATTTCTTATTGTGCCTTGATTAGAAGGTAGCTTGTATTCCTAAATTTATTTGAGTGCCCATTTGTCTTTGGATAAATGGAAATAAGAATGTAGTTGCTAATTGGAATCTTAAGTGTGTCGGGTTCCTTTGAGGCTATAGTCAGATGCATTGCTGATCATTCAGAGTTTAGCTTTATTATGTATGGCAGTTAGTGAAGACAAAATCCCCCTTTAAAACATCTATACTTGTTTTCTATATAAAACAGTTGATAACAAGCACAGTCCCAACTGTAAAAGTTGATCTATTCATTTGTTAGCAACAAAGTTCTGCCTGTTACAATTTTGGGGGCGAGTCCATTTCATACAGCTAAAGTTATCATGTCCCACAATAATATAAGCCTCTTGAGGCACATGAGTGGCTGGGCTCTCCCATGAGAACCTCCAATCCACAGGTTCCACTCAAAGAACACTCTAGTTGCCCTAAAGGCCAACCTACAGTGCCCACCCTACAGAGTTAAAAGGCCAAACTCAAGACTTGAAATCCCACCAACCTCCATCCTGAAAATCTCAACTCTGGAAAGCTCTGCTCCCAGTGGAACCCTATATAAATTCCATCTTATGTTCAGTTCTCTGCTACTTCCCATCCAAGCAGAGACACCCACCGTTCTGGGTTCTTTCTCCCAAGAAATCCCTGGTGTGAGGCTTTTTGTGCAGTGTGACTTTGTGGTTTTCCTTGGCTTCCAGGATACCTGTCCATCTGAGCTGTAACACACATATTGGTTGTGTAACTCAGATAGGCTCTTCTGGTGCTGTGTTTCCTCTCAGGGTCTATGCTGCGCTAGGACGCTATGCCTCATCTCCAGTCCACAATAAACTCACCTTTGGTGGTTACTTATGTTTCCTCTTGGGTTAATGTAAACCTTTCCCTGAGACTCAAGAAGTGACTGTTGAGCATCTAGCACAACTCTGATACTCTGAGAGGTGGAGGTACCCCCAGATACAGTCTTTAAGGTTCTGGCTGGACCTGTTCACCTGACCACATGGCCCCACCCTTGGAGCTTCAATCCTGCAGTTTCCTTAAGCCCCAGCAGGGTATCCACACACTCTTTGCTGGCTGGTGCATGATCAATTCCCTCCTGCAGAGTCCTCTGTCTATAGCCAGAGCTCAGAAACTTTGTATCTCTAAACCTTCTTTATTCTCAGCTTCCTGGGTTCAGTTTTACAGGGATTCAGGTGTCTTCCAGTTATGAGCAGCATTAGACTGTTGTTTTATGCTGTTGCACTTCAATTAAAAGCTGGCTGTGGAGTTGGAGTATGGCTGCCTTCCTGCCAGACCCAACTATATTTGTTTAAAGGTTTCCTCTAAATCTGTGTCCCATATCAGCTGAGCCACCTGACTTTGTGACAAAGAAAGAAGAGAAAAAACAAAATAGACAGAATATTCACAGTGGGGACTGTTGCTACTCATCTCATATCATAGTCTTTTGGTTTTGGTTTAACTCTTTAAAACTTTTGTTAGGGTATAAATCTTACCTCAAGATTTATACGCTCATTGTGCATGATTAAAAACCTGTAAAGCATGTAACGTAAGGATTAACTTAAAGTCATAACGCTGTGGTTGATAGTTAAAAACTGTTACTTAGCTAAAGGAAACAGGTGGGTTGCTGCCGTCTTAGCTGCTGTCTTCCCATGAGGATGGAGGCAGCCACGTGGCTGACAGCCATATTTGCAAGGGTTGGAAAGGATGGATTTGCCATGTGAATTCACTCCCATCTTGATTGAAAGTAACCACATGGTATAAGCCAACTATGAAAAAACAACTTCTCCTAGCTGTGAAGCTCAAAATAGATGTTTTCAATCATGCAAAGGATCTGCCCTTATCAGCTTCAATCCACAGCCCCTTTTCTCTCTCTCTCCAGCCTCTTAGGTCTCTCCTTTTCCCTCCTCAGTGATAGGCAGCCCAAATCAACCCTTTCATGTGTTCACTTCCAGACCACATTAGGCCTCCTGCCACTTACTCCCGCTCCTCTATGGGACTCCCTTTTCCTTCCTTTACCAAAACTGGTTGTGATTCTCCCTTTGCTGGAGATTGTCAGGATGTACAGCTTAGTATAGTCCCCTTTTTCATCAAGCAAACGCTCTGAAAAAAATGATTTGGGCCCTACACTGTTAATTCTTCCACCTTTATTAAAGAATCCCAGTGTATTTAACCAACCTTACAACCTCACCTGCCGTGACAGTTATGTGATTCTCCACAGCAGTCTTCTCCCTGAGCTGTACAGGTAATTCTGGGACTTAGCTAGGGCACATGCAGATGAAATCTAACAAGCTAATGCCACTCACCCAGCCAGAGCTGAAGCAGTCCCTGACCAGGACCCTGAATGGAATTACAATACCTCAGGGATTATTCTTGCTAGGGATCAATTCATAACTTGCCTTCTTTTTCATTATGAAAAAATTCAAGAGATTACCCAGGAGGAACGCAAAAACCTGTCT